AAAATGAGGATTCACAGTTGTAGCTGTAGCTACTCAGAACTATGATATGACTACAGCAAGGAGTATGGCTGCTGAGAACTCTGGAAAATCATTGTTATCTTGGGATTCCCATCCTTGTTAAAAATATTTTTATACACTCCAATAAAATACTCCTTTGTTCCAGATCTGAAAAAATGAATTAATATGTGAGGCAATCAAGTATCTTATTGATTGGGGACCACTGTACAGAGAAGTTTGTCTCTGAGTAGGGCTTCAGTGATGCAGGGTAAACACATGCATGGAACACCAAAGTGGATATCAAAGAGCTGCACAGGGAGTTGGGGAAGGCTTCAGCCCAGAGTTCATTAGTTGAGCGCCAGCCAACCTAGCCAAGGTGTCAACTGACAGAGATCCTCTGGCAATAAGCTGGGATATCACTTAACCCAGGACTGTCATCCTGCACACGGATTCCAAAAGGAACAAGTTACATTTGTAGGAACATCTTAACATGCTTCACATCAAAAGCATCTCTCAGCTTTTGAATGCTTGCCCCAAAACATTTTTATGCACAGGGCTACCACTGTATCTCAGATCTTTAGAGTCATAGCACAGATCTCTGCCATCTAAGCTGCCAGCAGGAACCAGTGGTAGCTGTAAGCAGCGTGGGGCACTAGTGCGTGGGAGGTGGAGCACACACATCTCCCGAGAGTTGCAGATATTTGCTCACAGCAGATCCAACTGGAGAAAGTTCAGAACTTCAGGTTCTCTCCCCGGGCTCTGGAAGATTCTCATCTTCTTTCCCAAAGGGTTACTCCTTGTGCATCATTCCAGCCCACCTCTCCTCCTCTAATCTTCAGTGAGATAGCTTATCCTTCTCTAGATTTAGAACAGTTAAGAGAAAAAAAATGCTACTGGTTTCCAGCAGTCAGAAATCATAGAGAAACGTTAACTTTGTCTATACTTGCTAAAGAAAAAAAAAAGATTTAACACAGCTCCATTGCTTTCAGTGAATGCTTTGTCTGGAAGTTTTTCCAAGAGATCTGAACCTTGTAATAATAAACTTTTGCTCACTGAACTACAGAACACAGACATTCATATAGCTGTCATTTTCTATAATCTTTAAGATCCTATGCAGATATTCCAAGCTGCATGTCAAAAGACTTGTACAAAAGGTATTTTAGATGTTTTTGTTTAGAAACTGTTCTTCATATATCATAGGAATATATAGATCTTCGATGAACGTGTTACTGCTTTTATAAGAGAGCTCCATAAGCCCTGCCCTACCCCACCAATGTGGAACAGGAAGGAAGAAAATACGAGGGATGTATTGTGTAATTCACAGGATTCTCATGGGTCCTAAGTCTGTTTGCAAGACAGCATCACTGTTTTTATAAGCAATTTGTCATCCACGTTGAAGCATTTGTTCGCTATCTGCCATCCAGAACCACATCCTGTAACATTTTACTTTCCTCGACAGGTTCCCATACAGATACTGTGCATTACCTATTTAACCACTGGGACTGCATCAGGTCCCCAAGTCATCTGGCACCTGTGTAAGTGCATTCTCCATTACATCATACAAAACAGCGTCGGGATATATTTAGCTGTGGCTTAGACACAGTATGAGAACAAGAATTTAGCATCTCTGATTTCACATGACCAAATTTTCGTTTTTGCACAATTTATTTCAAGAACAGAATGCAAACATACCTCGGGGCTTCCAGATGCTTTCCTGCCTCTGAAGGCCCTGTTGCTTCCTTCTGCATAATACAAAAGCATGGTGACAGGAGTAGCTATATGACAACAGACCTTCGCTGCTCACAAGTAGTCTGGTGAAATCAATGAGTCTGTGTGAGCAGCAACCAGTTGTCACATTTGCAAGGATACAAAAGTGGACTGTGTGTTTCTGGGCTTCACCTCACAAAGGATCAGCCTTATGTTGTTCGTAACCGATGCCGAGACATTGGCTTCTGTTTGTGCCAGATGGAGCCTGTTCCTTTTGAGTCCTCAGCCTCTTAGCTGCATGACATACCTGGCTGTCTAATAACTACACAGTTAAGTTACTTCAGGGAATGTGCTGGGATTTTTAAGTCGTATAGTAGCAGGTGTCATCTGATTATGCATTTAGACAGAAGAGATTTCAGCATAAAGGAGAGGGGATCATGAGATAAAGGGAGCTTAAACGAGAGGAAGAGAGTAATAAATAATTTAGCTTGAAAAGAACAAAGATATTCAGAATGAACAAGATAAAGCGAGGTGTTAATTATAAATAGGAAAGTTGAGAAGAAAAAGTGGAACTATATGGGAGACAGTTTACAACACATTTATATTTCTCACAAGCACTTAGTGGTATAATCTCAGGTTTTCTCAGCAGCTGGAAGAAATGGCTGTACTGATCCCATTAGCTGGTTTTGCTCCTGGAAATGGAGTGCACAGCGCTTACTCTGTCCTGGTCTAGGTGCTCATGCTCTTATCTGTACAGGATCATTTAGCTGCTGCTACTGGACATTATAAAATGCCCATGAGCACTTACAGATTGCCAGCTGCAGAACTTACCACCATTAGTGCAACGCAGTAGTAGGAATTATGTACAAGTTCAATTTAGTACAGCACTTAATGGGACTTAAACACACAAATAGGTATGCTTTTCTAAAGAAGCTATAAGATGGTAAAAGGTTTTCTGGATCTTTATTTTTATTTCTATAATGATTTGATCCCACCCCCTGAGACTTTAAATGCATAATGCTTTTTCTTTTTACACTAATAATAAAGGCTCCTCAGATATTTAGGTATCCAACAAATGAGCAATTATTATTTTATTTAAGAGCCCAATGTGAAATTCTCATGCAGAAGTCTTCAGCATTAGCAAGAAAATTCGAGGGAACAAGCAGGGACCCCTTTCCTAGAACCTACTTGTTTCTACAAAGTCACAATGCACTGGCTTTGTGCTCCTCTGCTCACAATATTCTCTTGTCTAGACCTCCAGGACAGCATATAGATATAACAGGAGGCAAGACAACTTTTGTATTTTGCACTTCTTCAGAGAAATCTTTTCACACTGGACAGCAAGACTATAGTGCATTCAGATGTTAGGATTTTTTTTAAATGATTTTAAAATGATTGTCACAGCATGATAAAATTGTTTGAAATAATTTTCAAACTTCCTGAACTGCAATTTAGTACTTCTTAAAAAAAAAAAAAAAAAAAAAACACATGAAAAGCTGTACATATTTAAACCTGAAAAATGAAAGTGAAAATGTAAAAATAGCTTTTCTGGATGATTTCACAGTAAGCAATGACATTTAACCTGCTAGATATTTCAGAGAGAACATACTAATGCTTTTATATCTTTTTCTCCTTACACTTTTCACAGATGACTTTTTAGTGTTGCAACAGTCATACCAAAACCCCCTGAAATGTGAGTAGTTTCAGTATCAACCCTTTGCTGTATTTGCAGAGGGAAGCAGCAGCCAAGGTTTGTTCCTGGGTGTGCACAGGTGTGCAGATGCCAGCTGGTTACTACAGTTTCAGAGTAATTAGCCACTCACAATGGGAAGAGCATACAAGTTGAAGAACAAGGAGAGAGATCATCCCCGCCTACAATACTTGTCACAAAGGTCAGGTTTGCAAGGAGCAACCACTAGAGAAACCAGAAATACATGAGCACATATAGACTTGAGAAAGAGGCAGCTGCTAGAAGGGTTTGTCTTCAGGATGTTGAAAACTGGGTTTTAGGAGCTTAATGTGTATCTTTGATGAAGGAGGAATGGTGGGACTTGTCCATGAGGAAGGACAGTCCATGAGGAAAGGACAGCCCATGCTCCAAGCTTTGTATTTACCTAGATGGACAGAGGACAGGTCTGATTTATTTTGTGCCTGTCCCTTTTGATTTTAACAGAACCAAAGAGTTTAAAGGTGCAGAGAAAGAGATGCAATACAGATGTGCAATAGAAAGACAGAAGCATACACACATCCTCTGTGCTTACCTTTGCACGTTGACTTCTGTTGACTATTTCAAAGCATCAAACCAGTTTCATAACAAAGCCTGACCATTCACTTCTCACCAGCCACCATGATTTCCCCATGATATCCTTACATATAAGGATACAGATTTGCAAAGTCAAGTTTTACCTGCCCTCCCCCTAGTAAGCCAGGCCACTCCAGGTGCAGGGAAACACAGGAGCTTGCAGTCATCTAGCTTGATGATGCAGTCCTCTACCTGCGTGGAAGCCGATTCTACATTATTCACAAATCAATTTCTTTGATCACAGCCCTATCTGGCGTTTGCTTTAAAATGGACTGGAAAGTGCTCCCAGAGGAGCATCTGTGCATGTGCTGCATAGGCCAGTCCTCAGAGCACCTGCTCCCACCCATCCCTGCAGCACCAGGCTCCTCTGCAGTGCTGGAGTTAAGCTGCCTGCTTTCTTCCTGAAGTGTTATTTGTACCAAGACAGAAATCTTGATCAGACCACAAGGCTTCACTGCACCAGCTCTAGCAGAACTCCAAATAACATGCTAGCATAATTCCAGGCATGTTTGCACCGCAATCAAGGAGCTGTAGTGCATGTGCACACAATGCACCTCATTTTAAGGGAGCCCTCCTTTGTGCCAACCACAGTGATTAATGCTTCTGGAATAATGACTGCATCCAAAACTAATCACAGTGACTTCCAGATCTGGATCTGATTACTGCTTCCATACAAACAAGCACCACCAAGACAAAGTTATCAGGGTTCTCCCCTTTGCTCTACTCTGAACACAGTCAAAATCCAAACTTCTCCACCTCCTCCTGCAGACACCCTCACCAGCCCTGTCCTTGAGGCACCGGGGTGTATCAGGCCACATCTACCACTGGGGATCAGGTCTGCTCTTCCTCTCCCCTCAAAGATTCAGAGTTAAGTGGAAAACTCATCTCAAGTGTGAAAGCAGACAACCAAAACCAAAAATGGAGTCAGGTAGGAATACAAGCTAATGGGAAGTACACTAACTAATGAGGAAAAATATAGCCAGATAGGAAGAGATCCTTTGAAAACCATTTATTAACAAATCAGCTTCTGTACAGTTACTTTATCTGTCAATAGAAGAAAAAATGAGGATGCTGACAAACCTTCATCCCACGATCTGTGGCATTAATAAATAACGAAGTGTTAAAAAACTGGGATACTTTGTGCCTATAACAATATCACACAAGGACAAGGGAATAAAGCTGAACAAAAAAGGACATAATTGTGTATTGCTGGTAAATAATGACATGAATGGAGAACAAAACTGCAGAAACAAATCCAGTCCCCCCACTACAAGCATCTAATAGAAAGAAAACAGGGCTGCCTCTTGTTGTTGTTGTCAGTAATCAGATCCAGATCTGGAAGTCACTGTGATTAGTTTTGGATGCAGTCATTATTCCAGAAGCATCCAGCCCAAACTGACTAGATAAAGACAGAGGGGATGGAAGCAGAGGGAGGGCTTTGGGGGTATGTACCACCCCAACGTAAACAGCACAAGGAAAGATACAGCCTGAAGGGAAAGCTTTTTAAACCCCTAACAACATTAATCAGATTTCACAAAGGTTTTTAAGCAGCACACCCTACTGCCTGCCATCTACACAGCTTATGCCACAGAAGCCATCCAATGTTGGTTTTGCGTTGCTCATTTGTCAAGTCACATCCAAGCTCCCTGATTTTGTTCCACATAAGCGTCTCATATGCCAAAGCATTCTGCTGTTGAAAGCAAGGGAAAGGATTCATTTTTTGTGGGTTCAAGCAAGTCAGAAAACACTCTACAGAAACTAGGAAAGCAGTTAAACACAGGGAAGGATCATCTGGTAATGAAGGTTGGACTAAAAAACAGGAATCTGAGGAGGCTGAATTAGGTAGGGCCTTATATTCCCTTTATAGGATGTGCATCAAGCAGAGCTCTGCCTCAAACCCTCCAGGAAACAGGAGAGTTACGATGGTGCCTTTTCCCTAAGAGCATCTCTAAGCTTTCCTCACAGGAAGCTTTCCTTGTGGTGCATTCTGAAGTAGATCAAATGTACAGGAAAATCCCAATTCAGAATTAATTGGCATACATTTTTCTTCAGGAGCTGGAGAGATTTTTGAATTTCTTCCCTCTAGATGAACTCACAACACTCCCACAATCCCACATTTGAGGTTGTACCTGTCTTTGTAAGCATGCAAGCAAAAGGCCTGCAACAATATGTGTCTGATTTTGCCACTCAACCTTGCTATTCAGATGCTTTCCAGTCTGCTGTCCATGGCCCGTGTTTGCTCCAGCTTCTCCTTGCAGCCTTAGCTTCCTTCAGCTTTGTTCTTGTTGCGGGTGCAGTGTCACAGGACACAAGCCTTGTTTGGCATGAACCAGCTGCAGAACCAGATGCTTGGTGGCGCCAGGAACCTGCCTGCTTAAGGAGTCCAGAACAACGCATCACTTGGAAGCACTTGGTACACCGAGCTCAGGATCATCACACCACATCCTTATCTTCTGGTATTTGATGACAGTGAAGGCATTTCTACCATGACAGACCACTGCACCCTTAAGCCATGCTTCTTCTCTGAAGAGACAGCTTTCTTTTATAGAATGGAGAAAAAAAAAGAAAAACATGCCAGCCAAACACCACATCCCCTGCTAAGTACCACCACTACTTATCCGGACAGGTATTCACTTTTCATCTGCCATCCAGCAGCTATCTGTACAGGCACCAAGCTCCGTCTGAGTCACACAGTAATAATCACTGCTTATATACAAGATCCCTTGTGTACTGTATATTAATGTCTGGCTGGTAATTTAATGGCACCTCTAGGCATAAACAAAAGTTTATTAAAACAGTAAGTAAAATGTTCCCAAAGACTGGCCTGCATTTTTAATTTTCTATTCAGCATTCCAAAATCCAGAGCCAGCCTTTTTATGCAAAAAGACAGCTACAGAGTTAGCACCAAGTAGCAGCATTTTGTGCGAGTTAGACACAGCATGGCCTAGAGCAATAGGATGCTTCATTTATATTCCCGACCCTTTCTTTTCTGATCATCTTTAACAATGACAGCCAAACAAAAATTTGGATTACTAGGAAACGTGTACAACTCAAGAAAGCAGCAGCATATTGATTACTCCTCACAATCAAATTACGTGTCAGCTCTTCGCTGGGAAGCCACATGGCAGCTGAAGCCTCAAGTCCCAGCCAGCAGTTGGCAGTGCCCCAGTACCCTCTGTAGTTTAGACCAGGCTGTGCTCTGAACACTGGGCACACAAGTGTGATGCTGTGCCCTCCCTGCAATCCTCTTTGTTCACACAAGACACTCATTCCACAGTGTTTTGAAGACCAGCAGCTTTCTTTTATGAGAACTCCTTGAGCATGATAAATGCACACACTATGGGCTTCAGCTGCTACACATACTGTGCATTGCAGTGGGTGAGTAGGTGGATATTTTTCAACAATACCTAAGCAGAAAACCTCACTGATTTTCACATTTTGGGTTAATTAACAGAGACCCAGCAATCTGCAGTAGGCAATTAGTCCATGAAGGAAGTGCAGCACAGAGCCACCAGCAGCCAAGCAAAGAGCTCTGCTTGCCACAGGCTCCTGAGACCACAGCCACATGTCCTAGCAGCAGCAATGCTCCTCTGCTGCAACTCATCACATGCTAGTGGCCTGCAGCGCTTCCCAGCTCCCAGACAGTAACGTGCCCCATCCCCACTCTGAAGGAACGTGCTCGACTCTCACCCACACTCTTGGGTTTCCACAGCAAGGAAACCTGAGCATTCAGGCAGCCAGGTGTGCTCCCATGTCTGCTACCTACACGACCAGAGGAATAGGACTCCAGGAGCCCAGAGCAAATACAGATATTGCCAGCTCTTTGCTTGAAGCCTGGAAGCATTTGTCATAACCTAGAGATTTGCCTGCTTACCAGAATCGAGTCATTCAGGCAGCTGAGAAGTCTTTTGCAAACAGCACCAACAAAGGAGAGACCACAGGTACTGCAGAGGGAAATCCACTAAAATAAATCCTTCAGTGCCTGTGTAAGGATAAAAATTGGTTTGTAAGAGATAAAAGCACTCGCAGCACATCAACTGCCTTTCTGTGGCATTCTTCAGTGCTGAACACAATTCAGGTTTTTATTGTTAAAATACATTTTCCTCATTCTTAAGAGACATCCTAATATAAACAGATTTGCTACTGCCCCATTAGCCTTAACCTGCAGAGCTTGGTGTCCTTATTTATAGCAACATGACTTTACCCTTAAAGAAAAACTGTTCTTTAAGCTCCGGTCTTGCAGCTTCCGTGGTCTTGTCAAAGATTAGATATCAAAGCTTTGAATATGCAGCAATAAGTGTGGGATTTTAAGTCTTGCACATGTATCTTGTTTATTTTGTCTATCAGAAATTGATGGCACTCTTCATGCAAGAGGAGGCAAAAGGCAGAAGGTAAGGTGCCAGGAGCAATACAGATACAGCTGTGGTATTTCACATTTCCAGCTAAAGACCTGGGTCAATACTTACCTATGATAAAAGGATTCCACAAGGTATTCAGGCATAATGGACTGTTCATGCAAATAAGGGTTTGCAGGATCTGGTGCAGAACTTGAAATTAAGCAGACTAACACTGCTGTTGGACCCCTCAGACTTGCTGTGGTGGCAAGTCCCTAAAATCCTCACGGAGGTCAAGGGGTGTTCCACGAGGGAGGGGAATTTGCATTCAAACCATTCCCTGGCAGAGGACATCCATTGTAAGACCTTCCTTTCTAGATCTTACCCCCTACAGATGAGGATGGTTGCTTAGGACCTTCACCCTTTCAAGGAGAGTATTCCTCCCATTTTGATCTTCCTGTTGTGATTTAATCAATGGTTTAATGTTTCTCTGCCTCCACAAGGTCCAAGCTGCCCAGCAGCCACGTGGATACAATGAACTGTGGATAAAATTCTGGTCAACGCTACACTTGCATACATTTTTAAAGGTGAAGAGGCAGATTCATTTAAATGCTCTGCTGAGTTAGAGACCTATGACCTTAAATCATATGCAACTTAAACCTAGCTAATAGCAGATATATATATATGCACAATGACAGCAAGCCACTGACTCCTTCGTTCCAGGAATAGGAAAGAAAAACGTTGGCCAGAGTCTGGAAGCTTTGCATATTCATACTTCTTACAGTTGTTAAATGTTTGAAAATTCAGGTAATGAGCATACAATACTCTGGCTGCCTTTGTATTGCTTGGGGGTTTGCTATTCTCGTAATCTCTCTACAGAAACCGTTCTATCAAGTCAGTTTTTTTCCCCTCAAATTGAATTAGCACTTGTACATTGAAGTTTTCAACATCACCCATAAGATTTTTCAACTTGTCAAAAGAATCTGCGTGGTCTCTAACCATGAATAAAAATGATTTCAGATATCATCTTTATTTGAAGTTTTATTTCCTGGGATTAATTTAATTGATTGTGCTGGTGGCTTGTTAAGCAGCTGCTGAAATAAACAGACCATTTGTCTTTCTATGTAAACATATGGGTACCTGGTTTAATTACACTTCACAATAGTGCTGGAAGGGGAAAAAGCAAAACAGAATAAAAGCCACCCTGTTTTCCAGAGAAAACACAGACCTGAAGTCATAAGGATTCTCCCATAGCAACAAACTTGGCTGCTCTTCTTCTAGGAGATTTTAATAAATCTTTTATCATATGGAAGAAAAATTATGAGGTTATATATATCTACTGAACTTTTTCCACATATAGCCACATGCTTACCGAAGACATTCGTGTTTTTATCCTTTCCTGATATAACTAGGAATAGCCTCATAAATCTCCGCTTCAATATAATTCTCATTTTATGCTTTGCAGACCTAATCCTGATCTGTGTCTATTACAATCACATTAACCTTGTTTTATAGCTGTGTAACAGATCAGGCCCTAACCTGGGAACTTGAGATAAAGCCAGAAGAGGGGCATTCCACTATTTTAACATATTTTTACTTCTCCCAGACAGTTCTGCTGAAGAAAATAGCATGGCCAACAGAAATAAAAGGATCGATAGTTCCAAATAATTCTTCCTGGACTCTTTTGCAAGAATTATTTAGTTCCTTTAAAACCTATATATATATATATCCTGACTTCCCTAGCTATGCTCATTATACAAGCAATAACTCATGGACTTATGTGGGAGATGAGACAAGCAGAAGGAAGTGGAGACCCCAGCACTGGAGCTAAAGGAGGCAAAAAGTCACTTCTGTACTAGGAATCTGGAAAGCCATAGGGGTGTGTAAGATCAGTTATCAATATCCTTTTTATGCCCAGATAAGCACCATTCCTAGCAATAAGCACGTACTGCGCAAATGCAATATTAACAGCATGTAGCTGTGTCCAAACAGCAGGAAACCACATAAACAAGACTTGTTACATTACACACAGCCTCAGCTTTTCCCCTCCAACCAACTTTGCCAGCTATTACAAGCTTTTGATGAAATTAAATACACAAACACTATCAAAGCACCTACAAGAATGGGACAAAGTAAATACTTCAGGACTATCATTTTGAGGCAGTCAGAAGGCCTTGGAAAGAGTAGAGAAGCATAGAAGTGTTTGGGTTGGAAGGGACCTTAAAGCCCACCCAGTTCCAGCCCCCTGCCATGGGCAGGCACACCTCCCCCCAGCCCAGGTTGCCCAAAGCCCCATCCAGCCTGGCCTTGAGCACCTCCAGGAATGGGGCAGCCACAGCTTCTCTGGGCAATAGCGGAGTAACTGGATTGCGTGATGTGTAAACCAACTCCAAGAACCAGACCAGAAGAAAAGTGGCTGTGGTCCCCAGGCCAGCAAGCTGACAGGTGCTTCAGAGCCAGGAAGCCAGGCTCCAAAGTCATCTGCAAAGCCACTGCTGCACGGTTGACCCTGCTGGTGGGAAAGGAGTAGGTCTCTAGCAACATGAGCTAGCCTTGCAATTGCTTGCAAAGTGAAAAAAGGGGGAAAAAAAAACAAAACAGGAAAGAGAGGAGCCCTACACCTTCATTACACAGGAGATGTCTGGCCATGAACAGACAACACTAAGCTTGAACTCAATAAACACTCCCTTTGCCCCACTGTGTCCTCATCTACCACTGCTTTTAAAGCAGCAAACCTTGCCCCTGGGGCTGTACACCCCTGTATCTACCCAGACACGTTCAGGTGACCGAGCATCAGCCCTGCCTCTGCAGAGAGTTCAAGCTCTGGTCCTCAGGAAGACTGCAGAGTAAGTCAGGATAGCCACAGATGCAACTCCTCCGCTGTTCTCAGTGAGATACTGGATTTAAAGACATACCAAAGACTTGTTTTTAAATGAAGTGGGATATTCATCCATGTATCAAGTAAATGGAACGATGTTAATTTGTCACTTGACTGCTAAAAAATAGAGGAAGGCAGTTAAGACAAGGCTGCAACCACATCACTGGCACCGCTTGCTGAAAGCGAGCATCCACCTAATGACAGACGTAAGCTACTCCGATTTCCTCGGATCAGTTTATAATTTGGGATGCTGTCTTGGGATATCCTATTTTTACCTTTAACGGAGGAACATAAAAATTCTAATCAGTTCTAAAGTCTCAGGAGTCCACATGGAATTTGCATTTCTGCATAACGAAGGACTGGGTACAGAAGAATAAAGTGGGAACTATTTGGATTATACAGAGCCAGGTAGGATGCTGCCATGGTCAGTTCCTCAGCAGGAATTGGCACAGTTGGCAAGATTTACCTTTCCCCCCTCCTCTGGAATGAGGCCAGCTGTAATTAGACATTATAATGAGCAAGATGCTTGAATTCACAGTAGAGCAGCAAACTTGTTTTTCCTCACCTTCAGTAATGTATTTCTGCCCTCCTTCTTCATCTTTCCGTGCTGTTTTGTAGTTTGTGTCAAACAAGCTTCATTCTTCTCATTACAGACAAAAATCTTTGCTTGTTGAAGTGCTGAGAGAGCTAATTCTCGTTGTTCTCACTTGTTACAGAAAGCCTCCTGCCAAAGGAGCCATTTGGCTCAAAACACTGTAAACAAGCTCTCCTTCTCCCCCCCCCAGCTTGCTTCAAGAAGTCTGTTTTCATAAACACTACATCTTGTCTGCTCAAAACAGCCAAGCTTGGAGTTGCTAATATCAAATACATTTGTAGAAGGCAGCAATAAAGAAGCACCTCGACAGACTAATGATGGCCTCCCACAAGCCTGGCACTTAAAAGGCTCACCTCCCTGCCTTGCATATTAAAAGGTAACAGCCGAGTGGCACCATTGCCACGCACAGTTGTCAGGTGGAATACCTGCCCTGTTGGCCACCGAAAATTAAAAACAGGCATTGCTGGCAATGAAAAGAGGTGTCACTGATGGGCTGACCGTGAGTCAGGCTGTGTTGCTGCAGACCCTGCCCGTGCCAGTGCCTCTGGGCAGCAGCAAGGCACGAGCCAGGGACGTGCTGCAGATGGGCACGGGGCCCAGGCACACCCCGAGCTGTTTCCCTGGGAGGTTGCATGCTGCCAAGCCGAGCCCAGGAGGATGAGGGGTGATGCCATGCCCCTCCTTGTATCAGCTGTAACTTGGCATTTCGCTCTGCATCCTATTCTGTGGGGATCCCACACCACATGGCCCACAGATAGAGACCACCGCCCTCCCTTGCGTAGCATATCCTTAAGATGTTGGACAACCACAATGAGGAAACACAACTTGGAAATTTGCTGGCCTGTGGTCTTGCTGCAAGTTTGCCGTGATCACCACCACTCAGCCCACACACGGAAAGTGGGGGCAAAGTGAAGATTACTCACTGAATTTGATTTATTATTACAGGCTCTGAAGGTAAGCAGAAAACCTTGGTAGAAAGAGGTGAGGAGTGAAGTGTTTGTTCTGTTTGGGTTAAGAGGAAAAAAATCTCAGCAAGTTCTGACCTTGCTGAAATCCTGTTAATATTTCTGGGAGGAGCAGAGACCAATCCATCTCTGCAGAGGGACCTGTGTCTGAACACAGAGCTGCACATTCCCATCAATGGGGAGTTGAATGCTGGCTTCTGGCATAAATAAGCCACTGGACAAACCTGACACCAACACCACTGGGCTCTTCCACAGGGTAGGAACAAACAAAGCCATCTGAAACAGGTGGAGTTCAGGCTTCATCCCAGAAATCAGGATTAATGCTTAAAAATGGGAAAGAGTAAAGATAACCCTAAATAGCAGTCAGCTATAACAACAACAGAAAGAGGGATGACGCCAAACCAAGCCCTGTTTTAAACAGTCTTGTGCTTGGTACCTAAGACACTTTGGGTGATGTTTGCTTTCCTATATATAGTTTTGAAAAAAAAATTACACTGGTGCCTTTTAATAGGAGCCAACTCTTCATAACTTTCTTTGGAGCTGGTTACATGGGCATGCCCTAGAGGTTTACCACCCGAGCTCTTTCCCTCCATCTTCCAAAGCTGTGTAGGCCAATATTTATTCATCACTTTGCTTTATTAAGATGCGTTTCAGGTTTTCACCCATGTTGCATGTTTTGCAACTATGAAATATGGATCTAAGACCCCAAAGATACGAGAGAGTAAGGAGCCTTTCAGACATGGGTGGTTTTTGGAAAAAGCATGCCCCAGATGCAGGAGCAGCACAGCACTGCTCTGTGACCTACAGCAGCTTCTAACACACCCAATTGTCTTAGGCTTAAATGTCACCACATTAGAACGAGTGCAGAGCTCCTTTTTTACATTTTCATCGCGTCCTGCTAAAATCCCAGGTCTGACAGTGTATCTTGACAAAAGGGTCCACATGAAATACGTTGCTAATTATTTATACACCTCTTCAAAGGCTCGGCGCTTCTACTTGTACTTCTTACTACTCCTACCTACCCAGGCCCTACAGCTGTTTTTCAATCACTGAACCAAAACCCCTTAGAGTAACAAGTTTGTAATAGAGGTTCATAAACCTGGCAGTGATTAACAGCACGGGTTAATCAAATGAGTGTAGAACAGGCTTTCCCCCCTTTTCTTTAAGGAAAACTGGCCCCAAGTGTTTTTTCCCTTATTGCTGCACAGAAATAAATTTGCAATTAACTCGTACTTGCTGGTGTCACAGCAGGCTCCGCAGAGCCCAGCAGAAGCAGGCACCACTGCGCTCCGCAGCCCCTGAATGTGCAGGAGCAATCCCTCTGCAGAGGTGACAACAGCACGTGGGCACCCAGGGGCGCCTGGGGACTGGGCATTGCTCAGTAATTAACTACCAAGACCAAACTGAAGGGAAGGTATGCTGTTTGCTTCATCTCCTTGAGCCAGGATTTTCTTTCCTTCCATTAACTGCTTCTGGAGTTTACCAAAACCCCACAGCCCCTTCAGTCCGTTCCTCTTACCCCCATCCCCATCACTACATATAGTTTTTCCCTCCTGCATACACTTGGATGTTCCTATAGGTTGCCAGTATTGCTTTATTTTGGCAGTAGGTATGAAACTGGGTGCTTTAGCTAAACCCCCACATGCACAGAAACATCCTTACAGCAATAACTGCTGGTAACCTGGAGCAGCGGGCAGGACACATCACTTCCCTGCTCCTGGGTGAGCTTGCTGAGATGAGTTCTTTCATACAGGCAAGTATTAACGAAAAACAAATGGGAAAAAGAAAAAAAGCCAAACCCAATTACACTATTTTCCACATTGCCAGAGGAACAGGTGTCTTCATCCTGAAGATACAGGTGTTTACCTTCCCCCTCTAGCACTTTTTCTCTAAGATGCTATTTAGCTAGGTCCACAAGTTGCCCTCAGGAGGCACAGGCTTCCTGCTAACATCCTGTGAGGCCGTTACCTGAGATCCCACCACCCTCCACCCACTTCTGTTCTTGATAGGTTATAACAATGTAACAGCAGAAAAATAAGCTTATTTGCACATAAATAAATATAAAACTGGAAGCAAGTTCTGAGTGGCACAGCTCCAGCAATCTAATGTAGATACAGACAATTCAGACCAAAGTTTCTTCTGCTTCAGCTATCTTCATACTAGCATACATTTCAGAAACATGGTGTAAGAATAAATAAGACCAGACAAAGACTAAAATTATCTTTTTTGTCCTCTCTAAAGTTTTGGGGGTGTTTTATCCAAAAGATGGTAATCTTAACATGCAGATGTGTGCCAGCATAGCATTCAAGGTGTGATTTGTATGTGCATGAGCTAACAAACTAGGGGAACGCTAACAGACACGGGAATGTCTGCTGACATAATATGGAGAGGAACAATGATTATTTCAGAAAAGTAACTCTGTTTATTCCACATGAATACGACTCTATAGTCTTTGTAAGTTACTTTTTAAACGGGGAAAAAAAAGAAAAATCACAAGACTGCAAATTTAACTCTTCTTAATTTGAATAGCACTCGTACAGCCTAAGTCTATCCTCTAGACAGAGACTAAACTCTGATTTGATGCAGCAGCAGCTTTGCCACAAGGAAGAACACACGAGCACAGCTTTGCTTTGGAGCTCCCATCGCTCTTGCTTTACCATAGCACCTTAAGTGCACAAGTCCTTGAGTAAGGAGACAAACATCCCCTGCTTGTGCTGATACAGAGATCTAGTGTTTTCACCACTTCACGTGTACTGCTGGATTTACATGTAAAAAAAATGTGATTCCAATGAAGTAACCAGAAGACAGTGATGTCACACAGAATTAAGTAAGGAATGCAGTGTTTTAAAAATAGTTATAACATCAGCCTGCACTTTTAAAATAAGGGGTGTCCCCAAGCAGCCCCTCAGAAGATGGCACCTCTTCCCTCAAAGGAAGGCTAGCCAGCCACCCCCGGGCCAGGTTTAACTCCACAAGAGCATGTAATGTTCAGAGTCTCCACACATGCATCCAAAGGAAGCATAGGTGTTTCCAATTCACTTGGTTATTTTTGACTTAAAAAGGAGTAAATAAAATCTATCTACTTAACTATGCATAATTAGTATTTCTCCCCTCCCTCTTTGCCTGCCCAAGCTGCTTTGGATACACACAGTGGTTTCAGTCAGGACTAAGCTAATGCAGCCGCCCCTGCTGGGACCTGACACCCTCCCACCATCTCTCATGGCAGCACACACAAATTCATTATCAAAACATTACCTAAAAAGATGTTATCTAGGTACAGGAGTAAGCCTGCTATCTCCTCAGAGACCATCCAGTTTTATTATACCACAGAAAACACAGGTTTGGAGCAACCACCCCTCTTCCTTCCCTCACCTGCCAGCCTGGAGACCTCCTTCCCCCCCACAAGCTTCTTTCCTGCCTACGGGCATCTAAAGTAGGTGGGCTCTGCTCACTGATGAGCTTTACTTGCTTTGGTGTCCAGGTGTTTAACATTTATTTGTCAGGTTACCTTTCTTTCCAGCCTTTTGAGCCACCTTTAAGCACTCTGAGCAATTCAGGAGCACAGAGTGAGCCACTTCATTTCTAGATCAAAGCACCTCCTGCCTTTGGCATGTTTATAAGGCAAAGGCTGGTCTTACTTTTTAAAAAATAAGTTATTTCATATTACCTATTTCAATAAAATAGCATGCCCACAACACACTATGGCATGCCACAAGACACCACACAACACTGGGGACAGAGCACAAAGCACCAAATAGCACCAGAACAAAGCCAGGTGCCACCAAGGCCATACCTCTGCCAAGGGACAGCTCCTGACGCCCTGCCACCAAACTCTCATCCTCTCAGGCAGGGCAGGATGAGCCTGCTTCAGGCTCCGCTTGGAAAAAGATACAAATCACCCCCATCCCCTGCAAAATGATGGGCAGGGGCAGCAAGCTGCAGTTATCACCACACACCCAGCCCCAACACACACAGCTTCTGCATGGCCAGAGGAGAAGGGGCTCGCTGGGCCCTAATTAAACTGTTACACAGCTGCTAGCACTCACTGCAAACGAGTTTTAATGCTAGTAAAAGCTTTGTTGAATCCAACTCCCCTCATTCAAAGAGTTTAATATAAAATGTTACAATGAAAATGTCATGATGACCCTAAAATGAAATAATAAAATAAACACCATCTTGGCTTACTTTGGGCTCGTATTTGCTACATACATATATATAAACACATGGTTGATTATGATGTTTGAAAGTTTTTAAAACATATCTTGTTGTCTCTGGTCAAACATCAAAGCAGTTAAGCACAAGTTTGGTTCATCCTAATTCAGCAAAATATTTGAAGCTAGGTGTGTACAGGGGCTTTTATGAAGTGCTTTGCTGGGTGCCCAGAGGCTGTTGGAAAAGTGGAAAGTGTTTCTTCCAAATGAAGGGATGAAAGCAGAAATGCAGAGAAATCTTCCAGTCCCACTCATAACGCAGGACAAGACCTTACCAAGACCAGAGAGACCATGGAAAGCACAGAACAGAGGACGACACACACCAGATAGCGCAGCTGAAGGTTAAACACCTCTCGTGTGGGACAGCAGATCTGTGGGATTTGTGATAATACATCTACAAGTGAAATGGATTAAAACAGTGTAATAATAATGAAGGGTAATCTAAGGCACCATGTTATTGTCTTGATCAGCAAGAATAGAGTCCCGAGGACATCCACATTGTGATTTATAGGACTTTTTTTTTTTAATGATCTGTGAGATCCTAATGTCTTCTGTACAAGGAATGAGTGGGAAAGAGGTTGGGAACGGATGCCACCTGTGGGGCTATTTTAAGCTAGCTAGGTTCCCTGTGAGACTTACATTTGACATTCTTATCTGTTTTGTATAGCCCATTACTTCCTTTTCCACTGTATGCCCCTTTATGTCTGTGAATTTCCCTCTTTACAAGCCCCAGGAGGCGTGAGGCCATCTGTGGTTTCCCTTCTGGACCAGGCCCATGCTGACCACCAACTGCAGCAGGACGGAGGACGAAGCCACCACCAGGTGCCTGCCCAGACGTCCTGCGGCCCCCAGCCAGCCTTACCCTCGGCGAGACCCCTGAGGGGTGTGGGGAGGCAGCCCCCAGCGGGCAGTGAGCAGCCTCCCCTGGGTGCTGTTGGCAGCCTGCTGGGGACCAGGGCTCAGCCTTGTCTGAGATGCTGGGTGGCTGTGAGCAGCGAGGACAACCCATCCGTAATGATTTTTTCACTTATTACCGGTTCTGTTAGATCCCCTCACTTTTGCACGAAGCTGCTGTTCGTGTAGCCAAATCAAACGCGCTTTGGTTTGCAGGCGGCTCCCAAATGTGCTCTTCGCTCTTCCCCAGCATCGCTCCACATCTCCGTGAGGCAAACTTTCCTCCCGTCCCAGGCAGGTCCGAGGCGAGGCCGGGTGCTGGGGATGGGGATGGAGAACGGAGGGGCCCGGGGGGGAACCGGGACCGTGCAGGGAGCGCAGCGAGCGGGGCTGGAGGGCGGCGCGGCGGGGTGAATGATGCGGGGGGGTTGCAGGATTTCTTGCAAGTAATTAAGTTTCGATTTCTTGCATTTATTTTAGTGCCAGGAAGCGCGAGGCGCCACGGACGGCAGGAAAAAAAAAAAAAAAAAAAAGGAAAAAAAGGAAAATAAATAAATAAAAAAAAAAGGTCTCCATTGATCGGAGCCGGGCTTTGGGTTTGCTTTCGTGGCTCCTCCGCTGGGCGCTGCTGGGGGGTGCGGGGTGCTGGGGGGGGGCCGGCGCTCCCCGTCCAGGCGGGTGCCCGCGCTGGCAGCGGAGGTGGAGCGCGCCCGGAGCGCGGCCCCGCATCCCGACGGATGAAAAATTGATGGGGCGCATTAGGTTCGGTAAAATATGAATGCGCGGCGTTAAATTTTAATCGTAAATCAGAGCGCGGATACATGAGAGGCGACAGGGATTTCTCCCCTGGTGTCTGCGTGGGTCAGGCTGTGGGCGTGGGCGTGTGTGTGTGTGGGGGGGGGGGGAAATCTCCTTTTATTTGGGACCGGGGGCTGCGCGCCGGCCCTGACCCCCTCCCCTCCCTCCGGCTCCCGTCTCGCCTCGGGGATGCGGCCTCACATCTCGTCCGCGCCGAAATGACCCAGACCCCAAATCAATAAGCGAAGGAAGAGCCCGGAGAGGGAAGCGCAGCGCTCGTTGTGCGGCGGGGCTGCGGGCAGGGCGCGGGGCGGCAGCGGGGGCTGCGCGGCTCCTGCGCGGCTTTTGCGCGGGCCGGCGGGGAGCGCAGCGCCGAGCGGCCGCGGCCGAGGGGCGGCGATGCCCGGTTTGGGGAGGGGGTCCCGGGACAGGGAAAGTTTCCTCGGGCGTCCCCGCCGCTGCCCCCCGCGCCCGGAGCCCGCTCCTGCCCCGTCCCGGGGCGCGCAGCGGCGAGGAGCGGCCGGCGCTGCGGAGCGGGCTTGTCAGCCGCGATTAAAGTCAAGATTAATTCATATTAACGATATGCGTCCTCCGCTCTCCCCCGTGACAGCACGCATTAGGACAACGGCCGCCCGTAATTACCCTGCAGGCGGGAGGGGCTGCAGCCGCGCCGCGGGGAGGTGCCGGCCCGCCCGATCCGGCTGCCGAAGTTGAGCCGCGGAGCGAGGCGCACGGAGCCCTCTCCCCGCCGGGCTGCCCGCCCCCAGACCTCCGCGCCTAGACGAGGCGTTTACCTTCATTTTTTCCCGTTTTTTTCTTTTTTTTTTTTTTTTTCTCTATTTTTTCCCCGAACCGGAATGATGCCCCCATCGCCCGCCGGGCCACCGCAGAGCCCCCGGCGCGGCGCGGGGGGCAGCGGCCGGGGTCGGGGGGGGGCAGAGGCTGGGGCAGGGGGTGCGGAGGTTGGGGTCGGGGGTGCAGAGGCTGGGGTCGGGCCCTGCCGCCCCCCCCCGGCCGTCCCCGACCCTCGCACGGGGTCCGGCGGCGAGGCAGGCAAGCTCGGCCGCGGACTTTTGTCAGGCGTTGGAGGGGCTCGATAGTTTGGGCTAATTAGACAAGCCAAAAGGCTTTTGAAGATTAAGCAAATCGGACAACCCTTGTTAATTAGAACATAATTTAAAGTTTGAAATTATATCACTCACGAAGTAGCCTAATTAGTATGACGATATGTTAATAGCCTACTGAGACGCGAAGCGCGGAGGTTTGGCACGAACTCCTTAAAGGCTTGCAAGAAAATCCTCTTTCCTGCGTTGTCATTAATAAAAGATTTCTATAGACTTCAGCCTTTCAACGGTGACATACAATTTATAGTACACACAATGCATTAGCCCATAGTGCTGCTCACTTTTTTTACTATTATGAAAACTAATAAATTCGTCAAGCTGAATTAAGCATACAAATCAGATGAGGCATAACAGATTACATATTGAAGCGCTGTGTCTCCCGAGCCTAAATGAAATTTCAATCTAATAATTCCTTCCTGGCCCGGCCATAATTTGTTTAGAGATGTTGTTCTACTTCTTTCCAAGCGCTATTCGCACCATAATTAAATGATACTCAAGCTTTTAACTTTGATTTATTTCATTTCTCCGAGCTGGCGACAGTGAGAGCTGATACAATGCAATTTTTTTTTATTTCCCTTAAAATTACCAAGTCTGCTGTTTAGGTGAGAAATTAAACACCTAAGCACTTATTTTAACCTTCCTGGCGCAAAGCGAAAATTCACGGAAACGCACCCGGCCACCTTAACTAAACCCGACTTCCCCGGTTCCCTTCCCTTTCTCTCTCCCGATTTAATTTTCCCCCCTCCTTCGGCCGGGAAGTTGCCGGCCGGGACAGCGCTGCTCTTCGCGGGAGGACCCCCCCAGCCCCGGGGGAGCCCCGGCGGCCGCTCCGCGCCTCCCCCCGGCGGCTCCCGGTCCGCGGCCGCTGCGCGCTGCGCATCCCCGGTGCGAGCTCCGCAGGGAGCCCGGCCGGGCCCCTGCCCTCCTGCCTTTTATTTCACACCTTTTATTTCCTAACGGAGGTCGGATTTGGGGGCGGCGAAGGCGGGGTGGGGGCGCTTTTTTCTTTTTCTTCTTTTTCTTCTTTTTATTTTTTTAATTTTTATTTTTTTTAATCCCCCCCCCCTCCTTTTCCTTCGCCCTCCCCTTTCCGGGAGGTGCGCGGCGCGGGGGGCACGCGTGGGCGTGGGCGCGGGGGGGCGGCGGAGGGGAGGGGGCCGGGGCCGAGGAGGAGGCAGGCGCGCAGGGCCCTCGGCGGGGAGCGGGGCTGCGGTGACAGCCGAGAGGGGAGGGGAGGGAGGGGAGCGAGTAAAACCCACCGGCGCGGCGCCGGGGAGGGCACTTGGCGAGCGGCGAGGGCCGGCGCCGGAGCGGAGGCGGCGGCGGCCGGCGGCGAGCGCCCGGGCGGGAGGCAGCCCCGCGCAAACCCCGCGCAAACCCCGCGCAAACCCCGCGCAGCCCCGGAGCAGCCCCGGAGCATCCCCCGAGCGTCCCCGGAGCCGCCTCTCCCGGCCGCCCTGCTGGGGGCCGAGAGGGATTTTTTAAAATTTTTCCTTTTCTAAAAAAAATCTCGCTTTTTTTTTTCTTTTTTTTTTTTTTTCTTTTTTTTTTTTTTTTCTTTCCGCGGGAGGTGGGGGGTGGTGGTGCAGGCGGGGCTCCTGTGGCTTTTCCGGGGGGTCCGGGCCCCCGGGCCCCGCGCCCCTGCCCTCCTCGGCGGCGGCGAGCACGATGATGATGTCCCTGAGCAGCAAGCAGCCCTTCGGCCTCCCCCACGGCGGCGGCGGCGGCGGCGGCGGCCTCCACGAAGCCAAGTACTCGGCCCTGCACAGCGCCTCGCCCTGCCCCTCCGCCGCCGCCCCCGCCGCCAGCCCCCCCAGCAGCACCGGCACCGGCGGCTCCGCCGCTCGCGGCTCCGGCTCCGGCTCCGGCGGCGGCTCCGGCTCGGGCTCGGGCTCCGGCGGCGGCTCCGGCGGCTCCGGCGGCGCGGAGGCGATGCGGCGGGGCTGCCTGCCCA